GGCCTTCCTGAAGTCTAAGTAAATGATGTCTACCCCTACTCCTGCGTCCAGGTGTTTTGTAACCTGGTCATAAAAAGAGACTAGATTAGTCAGGCATGATCTACCTGCTACGAACCTGTGCTGGTTTCCCCTCAGCATAATTTTTCCTGCTGGGCTCTCACATATATGAGCCGTAATAATCTTTTCAAAGACTTTGCCAAGGATGGAGATGAGACTGACTGGCCTATAGTTGCCTGCATCCTCCTTCCTCCCCTTCTTGAAAATAGGGACCACATTGGCCCTTTTCCAGTCCTTTTGTTTATTTATACAGTCCAGTTCCTTTTGTTTCTTTTAAGCAAATATAAATGCCTAGTGGAGGACAGTACTACTGTATCTGAGAAGTGTGTGTGTGTGTGTGTGTGTGTGTGTGTGTGTATATATATAGAGTGTATTGAAATAATCAGTTTTAGACTACTTGTAGCACAAGCAAGCTTTCAAAATATTAGTTTCTAGCTTAAATAAGAGTAATGAGAGTTGCTGCCAGCATTCTTTCATTTTTTTAGATATTTCTGGGTGCCCATCATCTTGAAACAGGACAGTTTAAGAAACCATCGGAATTTAATTCTGTTGGCAATAGAATGGCGTTTATTTATGGATTTGTAATATGTTTTTGCACACAACTACCTGTGCTTCAGACTTTGTTTTTGAGTAATCTTTGTCAGTCTTAAATTGGCTGAAAGTGATTAATTTTTATGGTTCTTTGTTCATAAATACTACAATGCCATTTTGTTGTGGCACTAATGGAGTTCTCCAGCTGTAGATGTGTAGTGTGGAAGATAACCAGACTTGCAACATGAACAGTAGAATATTTCAAGGGTTTTTTTTTTTATGTGGAATCTTGGAATATATAATATTGGTAGTGCCATAAATTTAGGGAAGTGTCTGTTTTGTGTCAACAGAACAGAGATGCAAGAGAAAAAAGTTCAAGATTAGGGCAGATCCTGATGTTTTATCTTGAAGATTGGATTCCCAAATTGAAGCATAATATTCTTGATAGTTTAGTTGAGTTATGTGTATGCAACAGTCAAGGTTTTCAGTTAGAGAGGTAGCTGTTACAGTTTAACCATCTGGAAAATGAGATGAAATTAGTAGCCTTGTCTGAAAATGTAGGTAAGATGAGCTGCAGCATAGGAATCTTGTGGCAGAGCAGAAATAAAACCCAGTTTTCCTGGATCCTACCTGTGAAAATCTTATCTACACACAGCACCATCCTTTCTGTTCTTGTCTTGTGCACTGTGCCCTCCTCGTTTCTTCAGGAGATGAAGCAGAAGTTCTGTAGAAAAAGAACAGTAATGTAATTAGCAACTGTAATGTGTAATGTATGCTTACAAGGAATCAGTGTTTTAAGTTATGCATAAAATATAATTCTGTCATAATTTAACTTTAAAGGAGTTTATTTTTGCAACTAGTATTTTTAGGAAGCTTTTGAAGGTCAGTTTTTCACACACATTCATCATGGAAAGTGAGATGGCTCAGAAAATTGAGGTAGCCCTAACAATTCAGAAAGTGGGAAATAATTGTTTTCTGTAGCTTCTAGGTTGCCAAAATGCACATGTTGTCACCACAGAAACAAAAAGCAACTCTGACCTTAGGAGTGTGTCTGTCAAATATCTGGTCCTCCCTTTAAACCTCTGAAGTCTTAAAGCAGTTAAATAAGTGTCTGTGTGTTTCACTAATCTTGGTCCTGGAAATTAAGCCAGTTTTATTTGTTGTTAAAATTTTAAATCTGGGATAAGACAAATCTCCATCCAAATTACCAAGTTGCCAAAACTTACAAATAGGCTTCATATTGGAAAATGCTTGTAAACTGTAAATGTAAACAGCAATATTGATTTGCCTATAAATTATTTCCTAATTGACATGCATATATGGAGCAAAGATCCCTCTGTGCTTATAACAGGAATGTTTGAAACATTTTTTCATAATTCTAAAAAAACCCCTGTTCATTGTTCTTCAGGTCTGCTATTGTGAACCGATTCATTTTTGATATATAGTTGAAGCTGGTCTGTATTTAAAATCTTACTAATCAGGAGATTTGAAAAGTTGTGAGCGAGTATGGCTTTATTACCAACTGGTAACAAAACTTATAAATACGTTTTGTGCAGCGATGAGGGAAAGTTATTGCAGTAATCCTTTCAGCAATTTAATTTAAACTGATAGTTAGAAGTCATGTTGTTGATTTGCTTGCCACATAAATTGAAGGCATTGAATATTTTGAGGAAAAAGAGTGCATGAAATCTTAAGAGATGTCCTGAAACAGACTGATTCTCTCATGGGTTCTCCCAGAACAGTTATTTAAAGTTCAGCACAAGTATAGTGAGACAGAATGGTGTTCATCACAGGTGTAGGGGTTTGCCAGCATGGAGCAAGTTTAAGGAAATAAAAGAATTTGTATCATTACCCTGGCTTCCTGGCTAAATAGTGATGTTGGAATTTGGAGATCATTAATGACCCAGCTGCAATGCAATACAGATCATTAGTGACCCAGCTGCAATGCAATACAGATTAATAGTGCTTTCATTCCCCTTTGTTTGAGGGTACAAAAGAGCTACTACTAAAACACTTGCCTGCTCTAGAGGGCTAAGTACAGACAGTCAACAAGCCTGAGGCTGAATTGATTCAGTCTTTGCAGGTTAGTCTAAGCTGCAGAGTTTGAACCAATAAGCAAATAAACACACATTCACTTTTGATTCAAGAAATGCAGCCACCTGTCTGCAGTAGTTCAAGCCAGAAGCCTGGGGCTGCTAGATCATGGCTGCCAGATACTCCAAGGCTTTTCCCCCTCCCTGCTGGCACGGAGGGGTCATGGCCTGGCCCCAGCCCTGCTCTGCCTGTGCGGAGTGGGGCAGAGGGGGGAGGTAGTAGCATTGAATTCAGAAAGAGAACTATTCTTGTTCAAGCTTTTATGAAAAACTATAAACTGAAAATTATAAACACAGCCTGGGAGGTGTGTTCGCTTACTCTTCCTGTTGTCCCTGCGGTCTCTGGGATTTGCAGTCCAGCCTCAGAGCAACAGGACTCCTCAGGCTTGCTTGTCACTTCCTCTTTTGGCTTCCAGGTGCCTCTGGGATTTGTAGTCCCCAGTTGCAGCCAGCAGTAACTTTTAGTGAGTTTAGCAGCAGGGCAGCTCTGCACGCGGGGGAAGGTGAGTTTAACCCCCCTCCGTGGTCCCAGACCCCAGTCAGGGTTTGCCTGGGGGCAGAGCGGACCCTAGGCGGGTGCAGGGCCCAGGGCAAATCAGTCGGTGTGGGGCCGCCTTAACACTGCATGGGGCCATGGTACCCGCACAAAGGTGGGGGGGATCTCTGTGCTTCTTCCGTGGTGTAGGGCTGAGCCACCAGCTCCAGGCAGGCCCTGTGCGGTGGGGCTCTGGCCTCTCCAGCCGGCTTTGTAGCCCTCCCACCCCACAAAAGCATGGGGCCCAGGGCAGTTGCCCCGATTTTGCCGTACCCTAGGGATGGCTGTACCTGAGGAGGTAGAGGGGGGCAGTGAGCCAACGAGTGAGGGCAATGAGCCAGCCCTCTCTGCTCCAGCTACAGAGCAGAAAGGTAGAGCCAGCACTGCTCTCTGGAGCAGACCGCGCAGCCCAGCCCAGGGCTGGAAAGTGTGTTGGGATGTTGGGGGACTCTGATTTACCTTGAACCAGGAAAGGGTCTGGCATAGAAGTTTCATAAACCGGTTTGACACACATCAGTTATGTCTGATACTATATTCAACCAGGTTTATCTTTAAACCAGTTTCAGCCATTTTGAAGCTGGTTTATATGCACTGAACTTCTTTTACAGGTTTAAACCAG